TCGGGGAATCCTCATGTTTCTCAGATGGTACCAACGGATTTCGTCCATCCACAGTATCTTGGTTGACGTTGGAAGGGGAGCAAAAATTTAAACTGTTAGCAGTTAAGTGGTTGGATTTCAGCCACTAAACCACAATAAGCAAACATGCAAAATGTTTCCCAACAACCACCATGGTACTGTGGGTGGACGAAATCCTGCACCACCTAAGAAACCCTGGAATGATGATTCACCTGTAAATACCAACAAACAATGGTTTCAACCATGTCCATCCACAGTATGAAGGCCGAAGTCGCAGACAAGGAAAAAACAAAAACAAAAATATGCGCCTGGTCCAGCATGCGCTGCAGCCAGCGCTCGCAGGCCTCGGCGTTCTGCGCCTTGGCGCAGGCGTCCAGCTGGGTGTTGTAGCTGCAGACCTCGGTTCCCAAGCGGGCCATGGCCTGGGCAAAAAAAAACGGGCTCCCCAACCTAAATGGGCGTGGCTCAAAAATAAAGAGCTAGGGCTGCGCGGTTTTGGTCTTTGTTTCCATCCAGGGTTCCATGTTGGGTACCCATTTTTGACCCCAAAAACCTATAAAATGAACAGAACCGACAAATAAAACAACAACAAACAACAAAACCACTTCAGCAGAACCAACAACAAAACAAGACACAACTTGCCAAGAGCAATGAAGAAACCGTGGCCTTGATGCCCCGCTCCTGGCGGCTGAACCCGGGCGGCTGAGGGGGAGGGGGTCTCCGGAAAAGGGGCCCGGACTTAGCTTTAAAGTGAATCGCCTTTCGGGCCCACGAAAAAAAGGGAGTTCAACAAGGCAAGGCCAAAAGGACAAACAGCCCCGGGTCCTGGTCAAAGCAAACCTTCAGATTTGCCTTCATGGCCTACCGCAAGAGGTCGGCACACTTGCTGGCGATTGGCCCTTCAGCAAGTTGTGAACTTTGGCTGGTTGGGGAACATGCCTGCACAATAGAATCAAATGCTAAAGATCCGACCAAAAGGGCGTATGCTTTCTGGAGGGTAGCCTTGTCGCTTGTTTCAAAGGGGAAACCTCAAGTTGAAAACCACCAATTCTAGCCTGATCCCCTAAAAGTTTAGCTTTGTGTGTTAAATGGAAACCCCCACTGAAACCCAAAAACCAAAAACCCTAAGAACCCCCAAGAACTTGGGGAGGGATTGGCCTCTTCTTTTGAGAGCCGCCGAGCAACGAGCAACACCCCAACACCCCGCGCCTCCATGCGCATGATCCACTCCCCGGCTCGCTTGTGGTTGCCCTCCTTGGCGTGCGCGCGGATCACCAGATTGTAGCCTCAGAGTCTCAGAGAGGTTTTTCACCAGCCAAAATCCAATGTCTCACTCTTTGTGAGGATTGCCCAGAAAAACAAAAAAAACGTCCCCCCCCCAAAAAAAAAAAAAAACACAATTCCCTTGCTGGTTCTCAGCAGGGAATGAGGAATGACACCGATAAAACATCCAACTGGTGCTTTCCCTCAAGAAAAAAACCCTGGGTTCATTGCTACATTCGCTACCAACTGAGCACCAGCAAGTTTCTCAATTTCTGCGTGGAATGGGAATGCCCCAAACGAAGTCTGAACTGTGTGGTTTCCACTCCTATGTCACCAGCAAGTTTTTCATTTTTGTGTGGATGGCCCCAAACGAAGTCTGAACTTTGTGGTTTCCACTAAAATGGAGCTCAGGAAATGAGAATTCGTGGGTTGGATTGATGGCTTGATTAAGGCGGGGCGGTTTAAACCCCCAAACCACCCATCCAAACCACCAATTCGGGGTTACCTGGAAAAAATCAAGTTCAGGGTCACAGGTTCTTTCTACACCTTCTCGGTGGAAACCCATTTGTGTGTTTTGGCAAGTGTTTGCCCAAGTTCCGGTAGAAATTCCTGTAGCTTCCAGCTGGTAGCACCAGCAGGAAACAGAAGGTCAAGCCAAGGACCCGGATACGAATGGCAAAAAAGCGCCCAGGATTCCCAGCCGTGAACGGGAAGCAAACAAAAAAGAAGAAGCAACCAGTCGTCGAAAAAGCAAATGGATATTTACCTGGAAAAGGTAGGTAACCAAGGACTTGCCACCTGTTCGAACATCCAAGAATAGTGCTGTATCTGGGTAACTGGCAAGCCCAGCCATCCCAGGCAAATGCCGGGGCCGAAAGTTGAGCAGAGCAGCTCAAGGCATCCAGGGCCCCTGGCACACCCTCAAACTTGCGGAGGACGGCCTGGGAAAATGCGGGGAAAAGCCTGGGGCGAAACGGGCTAACTCCATGAACTTTGTGAATCGGTCCGGGGACTGTGCAAAAAACAAGCACAATGTGCAATTATGCAATGATGATTTCCTTTGGGTCTGGTGAAGAAAACGTTGTTCTTGGTGGTCAGACAGTCAAGTATCTTATTTGGAGCCCTTCAAGTGGGGGAGGTTGGAGGGGACTCAGGGGGGTGGTTGATGTATTGTGTGCCGTTGTGGAAAGGCAACGAAACTGGGAAACCCCCGTTCGGTTGGCGTTTCAAGTGCGAGCCATCCGGCTTTGCACAACACGTTCGCTTGAACACCTGGCGCCCTTGCGCCTCCACCTGCTTCGCCCCCTGCTGCGACACTCGGTCCAGCTCCCTGTTGATGTTGCTCATCGTTTTGGCCGGCGGCTTCCCATTGCCGTTCTCCTTCTCCTCTTTCTCTGTCCTGGCCTCTGGCGACTTTCGTTTGAGGAGGTATGCCTGCAGCGCGCACGCGCCCAGGAGGAAGCTGATGACCAAGTCGCAGGCGCTCCACTGGAACTGCTTCAGGCTCAGTGGAACCGAGCCAAAGACCAAGGAGTCAAAGACGAAGACCAGCAAAACGATGCCCAGCAGCACCAGAAGATGGCGCGCCCACTTCCTCAGTCGCTTTGGATGGGACCCAGAAATGAGTGGAGGTGCTCACGTTTTTGGGGGGCCATGATGGCCATGACTAAACAAAAGCAAAAAAGAACATGAAGAAAAAAACAAAGGGCAAAAATTGAATTCGCTTTGGGCCAGTGAGCTTCGGTGGAGCTCCAGGTGTAACGTTCTCGGGTTTGCCCGTTGACATGTAGGATCGGTATCGAAACCCGTGCGATTTGCACGGGGGGCTCAAAGGCTATCTTGCAACAGCACCCGGTGAGGGTGCTTGAGCTGTCAAAGGACGGCAGGAGGTGAACAACTACGAGGCAGCCCAACAGTCCGCGAACTTGGCAGCCACGCGGCCGTTTTTTCGGTTTTTCCCCCAAGGTTCTGCAACCCCTGCAACCCCGACCTGGAAACGCCATAGGAAGGCAAGCCAGCAGGGTGGTCTCTGGTCACCTTGGGCCTGTTCGGAGTTCGGAAGGATCTTTTGAATCTTTTGGGGGTCGTGGTTCGGGTGCGAGTTCTTGGGGCGCGATGCCAGCAGAAGCATCTGTAAGCCCAGGGTAGACGCAAGGGCTTTCTACAAGCCTGGGAGAAGCCCATCAGCGTCAAGAGATTAGTAAGCCTAGGTCATCCAGTAGAGAGGTTAGAACGAGGGTGCCCTTTTATCTATAGTCTATTTTAGTAGGGGAACCCCCCACGAAAGGGTAAAAGGGCACTACTGGGAGACCTAGAAGCAGATGGACCCCAAGACTTCGACCCAACATTTCCCTGAGCCTCACCTTTTCACGCAAACGGCCCAGCGTGCGGACTCGCTCTCGCTGGCCACCCACAAACCCAAGGGGAAGCCGAGCGATGCGTTGAGGTGCAGCGAGGCACCACAGAGCTCCACAAGCGAAGCGGACAGCCGCCACCTAACTTCACCAACTTTCGAGCCGGGGGGAGATGTCAACCCAAAACTAGGTTGACGTTGGAAGGGGAGCAAAATTACATCTTAGCAGGTCAGTGGGGATTTCCCTTCAGTGGAGATTTCCCACTACACCACCATAAGCAAAAAATCAAAATGTTTCCCAACAACCACCAGGAAGAAAGGGCGGCCAACATACATGGGGAACTGGAGCACACATCTCCGGGAAGCCGCTGAAATGGGCCGAACAGGCACCAAAACTGGGAGCAACTCAAAGGCGCACCCGCCCCCCCCCCAAAAAAAAAAACACGCCGTTTTGTGGCCCCACCTTGTCAGTACCCACTCCCGCTCCAGGCACGCGCTCCAACTCAGGCGATGCCTCCCGGCCACGTCTCCGTCAGACGCCACGTCCAGCGTGAGGTCTGCGGTGCGCAGAGTCACCTCCAGCGCAGCCGAGGCCGTAGGCGTCAGCGGCGTCAGCGGCGTCAGCCGCACGCGGAGCCGCGCGGCGGTGGTTTCGATCTCCAACCTGGGCACATGAAGCGACAGCCCGAGGACGCTAGGCGAAGAGCCTTCGGGGGGTGTGTCTAAAACCATAGGGGACCGGGTTTCCTTTAGGTTGTCCTTTGAGACAAGAAAAAAAACTGGGCTGTTCAAAATGGAGGCTTGGCCTATCCGAATTTTCCATTAGGGAAGCCACTGCCAAGGGGAGCGGCTCCTTGCGTTTCCCAAGGTAAGGATTAAGGATTACCTTTGAACAGCCGCGACAAAGGGGAACCTTCAGACACCGCGAAAGATTTGTCAACAGCCTTCCAGCCCCTTTGACCCGGACCCAAGGATGTGGCATGGGACAAGCCAGTTCCGAGAGGAGACGCCGAAGTGACATGGAAGCCACACTCAACCGCCCAGGCAGCAGATTCGCAGTGGGAGCAGAAGCCAAAGGACAGGAACCAACATATATTTTTGGGGTGGGGGGGGGCACTCCATGGGCACTTCGAGATGATTCTCAACGATTTTGACAAAATTAAACCAATACCCTAAAAAAGGTGGCTAGCAACATCGGGTCTCTCTCATTTTTTTGTGGTGCTCACAAAATGGTTGGTTTGCCTCTTGGCTTCCAGTTGAAACCACCAAAAACAAAGGTCCCCGAAAAAAAAGGAACTCCACCCCCAAGTAGACTCCAGGTCTCCATACAGAACCGCTGGGTTGAGATCGGTTTGAGGCAAGCGACTGGTTCTCCTTCGTCACCTCCAAGCGGGCGGCGTGGTAAACCCGCGGCGTGGTCCACATCGTGTGGCACCAGGACGCGCCCACCTGCGTCACGTAGTCCAGGCCCTGCTGCCTGGGAAGAGGTCCCCGAAACCCGCATTTCAGCCTGGGGGCAGCCCACCCAAGCCCTTAATGAGGCCGGCCTGAAGGGCTGATTTGGGCCCTTCCGGCCCCCCCACACCCCTCCCAGGCCCCTGATGTATGGGGGGTTGGGGGGGGGTCGTGGCCTTGTTAGGGGGCCCTTAGCGCTTCTCCCAGGCGTTCCTGGGCTTGTATGAGCCTTCAAGAGGCCGTCCCGAGCCTCACGACTGTGTAGGGGCGCATGCAATTTTTAGAGCCTTCGAAAATGAAGCAGACTGGCCCCAGGCAAAATGCAGGTCACAAAATCCGATGCATACATGTGTCAAGTCTCTTGAAAGTTGCCCTTGCTCGCCAGCCTCTCTTGAGCGCATTGGCCAAACCTCCAAACTTTCTGCTTGCCGCCCGACTGCAAGTCCACAAGCTCCAGCTACGGGAGCCACGGAGGTTGCGATCCCAGAGTGCGGGACCAACCAACCCCCCCCAAAAAGAACAAAAAGCCGGACGGACAAATAGAGGCAGCATCCCAAAAAGCCCTGGAAGCAATGGTTATGGTCTCGGAACCAAACAAAAAAAGCAAAAAAACATCGACCAAACGGAGCAAAACAAAAGGCCAAAAGGTCGATTCGCTTTGGACAGTGAGCTATAGTATCAGGAGGCCCCAATTGCTCTAAACCAAAACAATACCATTTGCTTGAGTTTCATTGAACAAATGCAATATGTCCGATAGTGATAAGTCCCCTTTCAACCCAACCGGGGAAAACATAAAGTACACTTAACTTAAGCAACTAGAAGCAACTAATTCGGGCTTAAGCCCTACATATTGCAAGTCTCAACCACAGATCCATGGCAAACTACGGCAAGTTAGGGGCAAATGCCTTGTTCCCCTTGCAATCTTTCGGGCATGCAGCGCGCCTGAACTTTCTCGGTTGAGGTTGGAAGGGGAGCACAAAATTTCAGATCAGCAGTTCAGCGGTTAGATTTCAACCACGAAACCACAATTTCCACAAAAATTAGAGGAAAAAAAGAAGAAGAACAACAAAACAGTTTTTTTTTTAACAACCACCACGTGCTCCCCTTGCCATCTTTAGGGCAATGCAGCGCGCCCATGAACTGAGCAACCCCCCCCCCCGACCCCCCACCCCCGACTCCGACCTTTTTTTTCCTCGGGGCGCTTCGCCATGAGGAAGAGCTGCTGCTGGCTCTGCTCCCTGAGCCGGCTGCTCCGCGCGGCTCCGCCCCACCACTGCCGGCTGGGGCTCGGAAGGCCTCGGAACGCCCGGGAACCCGGGCGCCTCGCGGAAAACTGAAAGAAGCAAAACCAAAGAGCTGAAAAAGCCAGGAAGCACACAACCAAAGACATAGAGGACCGCACAACACACACAAACACAGAGAAACACACCATCACACGCCAAAAAAAAACAAAAAAACACGCCTGCGCCGGAGGCAGCCGCGCGGCCCTCTTCCTCCTCCAAGCCTGGCCTCCCCGCCGCCAGGAACCGCCGCATGGCCGGCCAGGCCTTGAGATCCCCGGCCACGTGCGCCAAGCTCGCCCTCTCCTCGGATCCGCTTTTTTTTTTTTCCGCGGCCAGGGCCGGCCGAAAGCTCTGCGGCGTGACCACGGAAAGTGAAGAGGGGGCGCAAAGAAACAACTGAGCTGTCCGCTTTCTGATCCCCGAGAAAAAGGAAAAACTCTCTGAGGTTGCAGGGGTCACTGGAGTTCCTCCTAGTGGCAAAGCACTGGGTGGCCTCCAGCAAAATCGCCCACTTTTGGAGATCCCAAAAAGGACGCTGCTCCCCTGCGAAAAAGTCCTGGGCTGTCCGGCTTCTGATCCCCGAGAAAAAGTTGCTCGTAGTGGGCTGGATGGACACTACCACTGAACCAACTAAAAAGCCTAAAAGCCTAAGCGGATGGCTGGGAACTCCTCCATTGTTTATCAACAAACGTTACGGTGCATCGAACATGAAACAGCATCTGACAATATGTTTTCAGTCTACAGATTGACATGAGTTGCCAAAAAGAAAGAGAGGCCCGTTCCCCAAAATGAGATTGCGGTGCTAAACATGGTGGGGTGTGGGGCAAGCTGTAGGGGAGCATCTGCCGATCCCCAGGAAATCAACAGGCTGACAAGGGCGCTTTGGGATCAACCGTTTCGAGACCTAAACGAAAGCAACATGGGACGAGTTACAGAGGGTTCCTCAGTCCCTGCCGGGAACCAGCAAGACTAGGAGGCTGATCCCTCCCGAAACTGCCTGGCACACCCCCTTTTGGTAGTTTGAAGGGACAGGAAGCCATTGCCACATGGGACCCGCATTTTGGGAAACATCAGTTTTTTGGGACCCGCTTCCTTCAACAAGGCTCAGGTTTCTCAAGCAGCAGTGCTCCAAACCTACTGCCACGTGATGACGGCTTTCAAGCACCCCAACTGAGGCTTGCTTAAAATTGTCGGTTGTCCAATTCATCAACCTGAAAGGGTACCCATGTGGCAATGGCAACTCCTCTTTGCTCCAAACTACCAACCAAAAGGTGGACCTTCTATGTCCGAGGCCTTCTGGCAATGCCAGACTACATGGCTGTGGCTCAAACAAGTGGAACCAAAATGACATCTTGGCAAATGGAGAAGAAAAAAAAAGACCAAAACCCGCGTAAGTAACCCCAGCTCTTTCCTTGTGAGCCATACTTAAAGGGGTATTGTACTTAGTACGTGGTTAGTAAGCCTGGTTATAACCCACTTACCATGGTTATAAGTTTCCTAAGTGGGATCTAAGGCTTACTAACCACTTACTAATTTCAATGCCCCTTTAAGTACCCCAAATGGGTCCTGTCTCAGGGAACTGCGGCCAGCCTTTGGCCCAAGGCTCCCCGCAGGCGCAGCCGTGCCGCACTTCGGGCCGCGCCGCCGCCTCCGCCAGCGCCGCCAGCTGCTGCACCTGATGGGAGGCGGAGAAGGACGGGACCAAAAAACCGCAGGGAAACCATTTTCGGGCGTACCCAAGAGCAACAACGATCGACTGGCCCCCAGGCATGTCTGTTGGGACATGTCCAAAACCGGGCGAGCACCATCTCCCCACAAACCCGCAAAGTTGTTTTCGTTACCTTTGGGTGCTTCCCTTGACCCTATGTGTGTCCCATTCCAATTTAAATTAAGCTATTTGAAGTTGTTTTTTGTTGCTCTTGATTTCAATGCCAAGCCGCCACCAGAATCGGCCACTTCCCCTCGCCCCACTTCAAGTCACACAGCGATGTTTACGACCCCCAAAGAAGGGAGATTAGGGGCTACATTTGTAGCATTTAGTTGATATATATATATATATGTATATGTGTCATATATAAAGTTGATAATTGATATATTTTTGTTGGGAGGGGGTAACCTCAAAAGAAAAGAACCACCCAAATGGATCCCCCAAAACAAAAAACAACTTCGCTTGACTCTTGCTCCGCCTACCCCCTCCCAGTTTTGGGAAAAATCCGCCGGGGCTTTCCGGACGCCATCTTGGGCCCAGCAAAGCCGCGGGCCTTGCCGGGGCCTTTCTCCGAGCCGGGCAAGAAGGCAAAGGCTGCCAAAAGCTCCGCTGCCTTCGGACGACAACCGCAACGCCGCAACGCCGCGACCAACTCGTTGAATTGTTTCTGCTTGGGAATAACGCTTTTGGCCCCCCCATCAAATTCATACATCATAAATGAATAATAAATAAATAAATAAATAAACATACATAAATAAATAAATAAATAAATAAATAAATGTGGCCTTCCTTTCGGTTTGCCTTTTGGAAGTCTGCTTGGGTGTTCGTGGACAAGTTGTTTGCTGGTAATGAGCCACTTGTACGTCCCCCGTTCAATAGAATTCACCTCGTTATTCGCGAATAACCCAGAAGACCACTGGCTAACTTGGCCGAACATCCAAGTAAAAACTCATTTGCAGCGGTCCGGTCAACGAGATATTTGACGACCTTGACGGCGATTTTCTTGGCCCTCCCACGTGATCAACTCGTTTGGCTTCGATCACAACCGCACTGGAGGCTACACATGTTGTTGCTTTGGCGCAAGCCATCAGAACGCATCTAGACCCCGTGTCCGCTAACTTTGGGAAAGGTATGTTTTTTGAGAGGGTACCCCGACATTGGTAGCTTCAAAGGGAAACCACGAGGCAAACCACATGTTTTTCAAATACTTGTTTGGTGGTCGAATCATCAAAAAGACGAGCCGCCCATTTATTTGAGCATATGCTTCTGTATGTAGATGTATAGATGTGTAGATGTATGTAGATTTGTGTATATAATATAGGTATACAGATATACATCTATATAAATAAATATATTTGTATGTCATGTTTACACATATACATTCATACGTATATACACATTTTGCGCGTTCCTTATCCTACCCGCCTTCTCCCCCCATCGCCTCGGGGCAGTGGAACTCCACGTGCTCCGCGGCAAGAAGCCCCGGGTACCTCAGCCTTTCGAAGAGCTCCGGGCGCCACAGCGCGCGGGTCTCCGTGCGCGAAAGGAAGGCGGGGTGCCAGTCCTGGGCACATTGGGCCCTTGTTGTTTTTAAACATGGGTATGGGTCAAAATTAAGCCACGAGGAATTGGACCGCAGGTTTTAGTCCATGTGTCCATGTACCAGGGTTCCATTTGGGGGATCTTATTTTTGACCCACAGCCTCTTTTAACAAGGAGGACACAAGCAAACACCAGCTCTAGCATGCCCTGGCAACACACTACAAGCAAACCTGATCCCAAAACACGGCAGGGTCCAAACCGGAAGGAGAAAAAAAGAAAAGCAACCGACTTTCTCCGCCAGCCGTCCACCACGGGGAACAGGGACCAGCGGCACGGGAGAAAGCCGATGACTGCCGTGCCGTCCTCGTGCCTCCGACCCAAACTGGCGGCTTCTTCTGCCCTTTAATCAGGTTGCCCTTGATTGGTGGTTTGGATTGGCGGTTTGGGAATTTGAACTCTTGTTGTTTGAGGGCAAATGGGAAACCACCCACATCACTACTCCAAGCCACCAATCGAATCGGAGGGAAGCAGATTTAAATCTAACTGAACTGGAAAAACAGCACACCCGGCCTCCGAAGCTCCCAGACTTCCATTCGAAAGAGGGCAACCGGTGCTTCGCTTTGTAGACTCGAGAGGGCAAGGGGCCCAACATCCACCGACCATGGGTTCACTCAACGGGCCCCAACGTGGGCCCGCCACGTGGGCGACCCATGGCCGATTTCTTTCACTTGTAGACTTGAGAGACCCCCGTTTGTCGCCTTCAGCCCTCTGCTGAATAGAGAGGCACGGGCCCTTTCCAAGATCCAAGGCGCAGCTGGTTCAGTATCGCCTGGTCCCTGGGGCACTCCAGCGATGCCGCGTGCTGCTTGCCCTGCTCAAAGGCCGCGTGCGCCGCCTGCAGGCTGAGATCGGTAAAGTTGGCCTCGCGCATGCGCGCTGTGTGGTACAGCACCACCCCCGCGTTCACGTGATGCAGCGCCCCAGCAAGGGACGCCTGGAGCAAAGATGTGGACGATGACTCCTCCTGCAGGACCCAGAGATGCCAGAGATCCTCCAAAATCAAAACATCACCCAAATCCATGGAAATCACGTGGCTGATGTCGTTTGGAAGCCTCAGCTCTGCCATGCAATCAGTCTGGAAGGCGGAATCGTGCGCGTGCGTGCTTGCGTGTGGGGTTTCATGTGTTCGTGCAGTCTCCCGCCCGGGGATTTGGTGGGAACAAATGAGCCTCAGGCATAGCTCCGGATTTGGCATCTGAGCCATTGACATATGACGAGCTTCCATTTGATTAACCCGCATAGGAGACAAATGGAAGCCAGAAGCTTCCCACGGCGCGGCACGTGAACATGGCATGCGGCCCGACAGCTTCTGCGGCCCGACAGCTTCAGCATAGGTCCATGCTTCGACTTGAAATTGCAACTCTCAATGAGACCAAACTTGGACCTAGAAGATTCAGACCACCCAATAGCACGCACTTAAACTTGGGTCATATTTTTGTTTGTTTCTAGGGGTTGTCAAAGTCAGAAAATGAGTTGTTTCCCTTTAACCCATCACTGAGGGGGTGCTTTGATATGCTTTGATCATGGTAAAATCATGAGGCCAGTTAAATTGCCCAGCATCCTGATTTAAAGCAATGTGCGCTCCCTGGTCTCTGGTGGCTGGCCCTGAGAGTTCGCGCGCGTGCGCGAGCTGTATGTGCACTTGCATGCTGTGGATGGACGAAATCCATTTCGCACCGCCTAAGAAACCCTGGAATGATGGGTTTGCCATGGTTTCGAAGTGGTGCACGATTTCATCCACTCACAGTATGACTTCTCGTTGTCTCTCGCTCTTGTTTGCGTGCGTACGCGCAGCGCCGCATAGACTTCAACTTGAAGATAGGCAACCAACAAGGTTGCTAACTACTTGAACTGAGCAGCAGCTCATGACAAAGCACTCGGGCCAACATTGCCCTCTCGACAGCATTCTGAAACATGCACTCCGCCGGGTACTTTCTCCTTACTTCGGAGCTAAAATCTGAATTCATCATAGAACCCGCCGCGTTGGAACAAGCCACCAGATTGCGTGGAAAAAAACACAAAAGGGTGCGAAACTTATTGCCTTTGCAAGTGTGCAGACAATGTAACAATCTGTTTTGCTTCTTTGCAAATGCCCTTGCAACGCTGCCACTGCAAACAAACGTGAAAGAAGCTTGGAACTTCAAAGGACAACACCGGCTACTAACACTAATCCCGCAAAACAACCCCTATTAATAAACTGGTTGGTTGATGAATATGGGGTCAACATGAGAGAACCCGCCGCAGCACAAGCCATAGAGAAAAAAAAGAAAGAACAACAACAAAAACCGCAGCAGGGTGCGAACCGCCTGGCCGAGCTGCAGGTAGGCTTGGAACTGCGGGCTCCGCTCAAAATGCACCGCTTCAAAGCTGACGCCTTCTAGCGACACCTCCGTCCGAAGCTCCTCGACCGCCTGTTGCCTGGCCAAAAGGCCCGGGGGAACAGAAAAAAAGTGAACTTTTGCAAGTTGAAAGGGAAACTACCCTTGTAAAAAGTGAACTGTTGCCGGGTAAAAGAAAACTTCAAGGAAACCCAAACGGGCAGAAGTGTTAAAGATGCTGCTTTAAGTCCGATGGAAAATCACCCCAAACCTGTCGGGGGTGGAAAAAGGGACGCCCAAAATGGCCCAAGAAGTTGAAAAAACGGGGGTCCGGGTGGCGTCCAGTTTGATGGTGGGGAGAAGCCTTAGGTTGCTTTCTGCTCCCCTGCTAAAAGCTAAACTTTCAGTGGTTTCATGGAAAACCCACTAGTTGGCAAAAAGCAAAGTCCTAAAATCCAAGCAAAACGCACCTCTGATTATGTCATGTCGCCAGTCCGCCCAGCCCTCCGCATCCGACAGCACGAAGATCCGCAGGGCCCAGGAGGAGCGCAACTTCAGCGCTTGGCGCAGCATGGCCATCCCCTGCAGGGCAGGCGGCTGGGAATGAGCGGAACCATTTTTTTTTGGACCCCTGCGTCACTTTGGAGCGGGCTAGTCCCCTGTATGTACATGACACTGGCAGCCAATTGGTTTGGACCCCTGGGCAAAAATGAAAATTGAAAAATATGTCCGGTATAGTGATAATTTCCTTTTGAAACCAACGAGGGAAAACAAAAAACTATTCTGAAAAGCAAATGGAAGGGGCAACGGAACTGCCAGGTTTTGGAGAGGGCGACAATGGCTACCCTGCAAAAGCACATTCCCCTATGTTGTCAAAACATGTGACCCTTTTGGGAGGTGCCGCAACTGGTGCCGCCTTTTGAAAAAAATACAAAAGGGGGATGCCAAGAAGGGCCCCTACTTTTCTCTACAAACGATGCACATGAGGGAGACGTTTTTTAGGAAGCTCAAACAACCAACGACTCACATGAGGGAGATTTCTTTAACGAAGCTCAAACAACGAGGCGACCAAAAAGATTCAGCTTCCAGCCGTTTGCATCGCCTGCCGGGCCACTCCGCGGCCCAGGCAGACCACTTGCCTCTGGAAAAATCGGGCCCCGGCAAAAGTGCATCTGTTTTTTTCTTTCTCTGGTTGCTGGAAAACAAAAGGACCCCAAAAAAGGAAGAAGACAAAAAAAGAGGAGCTAATTCTGGGGAAGTTGCAAGACCACCGGGCCCACAAACACGGACGCTGCAGGTGGTGCGAAGCGCGGCGTCCGGAGGCTTGGGAGCAGCTGGTAGGCCAAGAAGTCGCGGTTGGCCGCGGTGACGCGGTAGACCTCCGCCAAGTGCGACATCTCACACTCCTCACTCCAAGTTGGCGTAGTGGAGGGCCTTTGCCAGAGTTGATTTTTTTATCAGTTTGGCATGACTCAAAAACACATGCGCTTCATGTTCACGCCTGATTTTCACACCCACCAGGGGCCAACATTAGAGGGACACCCCGAATTAATATGGCCCCAGTCGCCAATTTGGGGGATCCTGACGGCCGGGCCCTGGACTTACATGCTATTTGACCGTTCCTTCAGCAAGGGAACTGGGAATGTCAAAAGGGGGCACAGCTGGATGTGGCGCGGCCCCCCAGCCCACAGCTGGTGATATCCCCCCACCCCCAACAGCGGCGGGAGGAGGTATTGCCTTAAGTGCCCGGCTTCAACCCTTGGCATGCCAGAACAAGGAACTGTTTTTTGCACCGGCGTACCAAAAAAGCCAACAAGCCAGCGCGGAGAAACGCAAACAGCAGCTAAAGACACGGCCCGCCAAACCCAGGCAAACAAAACATCCGGGGCCCCCAAAAGCAACGACCAACAACTGCCATTTGCTGCAGACCCCTGATAAAATCAAAAATATGTCCAGTAGTGAAGTCCCTTCTCTTCAAAACCAAGAGAAACTCACAAATATTTCCACTTCAGCACATGGAAGACAAAAACTACCTACCCAGCGAGCCCGTTTTTTTCCTCCGCGGCCGTCGGCCGTCAGCTCCTCGGGCTCCAGCTCGACCACCATTTTACCCTGCGAAGTCGCCAGGCGCCAGAGGCAGAACTGCTGGAAGACCTCGATGCGGAGCATGCTCCGAGCGCACCTCCGGGGTGAACAAAGACGCCCAAAGGCCCAAGCCGTTGCAAAAAATCGGCAATGGGCTTCACCCGCCACAAAGAAAAAAGAAGTCATTGTGAGATTCCACATTTGCTCGGCATCAACAACAGCCACTAGATTGATGTGGGTCAGTTGCCCCGGAAGGGACCCAAAAACAAGAGGTGAACATTTTGGGGCCATGACCAAAACTTGGAACGGGAAAGCGGTCGATTCGAGGGAGGATAGTGCCACCGAGATCCAACCCGCAACTCACCTCAAATGGTAGCGTTCTATTCAGCGACCGCCATGCAACCCCGGCAAAGCCTCAAAGCTACTTGGACGTTCGGCCAAGGTAGTAAGTTGTTGATAACCTAGGCGATAACCCACTTGTAAGTCCCCCTAAGTTCGTGGGCTATCGCGTTTCACAGGTAACAACTTCCAAGTAATGGGAACCCCAGATTCATAAAGCCCCGGCCGATTGCAAGGGGGCTTCCCTTCTGGGCTTCAGACCATCTTAGGGCCCGCACCCTTGTCTCGGACGGCTCTAAACCTGCACCGGTTGGTGGTTGAATCCCTGCATTTACTTTCACTGGACCAAGGCGCAGGCGGCTGTGCTCCATGGCCATGTCCTCCACCTCCCTCCAAGGAGTTGCGGACAACAAGCCCCGCAGGCGGCTCTTGAAGTCGTAGACCTTTTGGGCCAACTTTAGGAAGACATTTTAGAGGGACACCTTGGCTGGTTTAGGGGTGGCCTGGGGGGTGGGGGGGCCTAGTGTTGGTTTAGGGTGTGATTAGGGTTGGGTTAGGGCGGGTTTAAGGTGGTTTGAGGTTAGCGTTGGTAGGGGTAGGGTCGGTTTGGTTGCAGGGTGCTTTTCAATGGGTTTAGGATTTGTGTCGCGTTCGCTCAGAGTTTGTAAGCACTGGAGGGTGCAGCAAAACGAAGAAAACCAATGGAAGGGCTGCAGGGCTCATGACGGCAGGCGAACAGCCAAATCCCACCAAATCCGACGCCGTGTTCACCGTGTAGATCTCGATTGGGGCTTTGGTCGGGAAACCTTGTCAAAGCCGAAGGCATTTGTGCGGCAGAAGGCCTGCAAAGGCCTTGTCGCCCAGGGTGGCAGTGCTGCAATCATTGAGGTCCGAGTCTGATGATTAGCCACCAATAAACCACCACATTGTCAAAACACGGCGAACACTAGAAGCGTGCAGCATCGCGCAAACCTTTTGGCCCACGCCCAACTTTGCAGCAAGAAAGCTCCAGTCGCTATACACATGCCGCCATCGCTTCGGGCCGCTTCGCTGGACAATCGAGGGAATCAACAGGGTGAGGCCAATTGTTTGTGACATGCCCCTCTTGGCTCAAGGGAGGGGCATGGTTTTCACACACTTGGCCCCCGTGTAAAGAACACTCACAGACCATGGGCCGAGACTCCAACTCAAGAGTCTTGAGAATCAAAGCGGCAGGGCTCGCTTTAGAGTCGTCCACGGCATCGCGCAGAACAGAAGCATGGCAGGAGGGACTAGCAGTACCAAGGATGTGAACCAAGATGGCAGTGTCCAATTGGGAAGCGAATCCTTCGCTCCTTGCCTTGGATTTGCTTAGGACGCCCAAAGAGAGATGCCTGGAGTCTCCATGACCCCGAAAAAATGGGGTCACTACCCCAAAATTGAGGGGTCATGGACCCATTTGTTAAGGGTCATGGAGACTCCCAGGTAGTAACCCAAGCAATACATGATCGCTTATGCTTCAGCGGCGCCTGAAAATAAAACATCAAGAACAAGAAGACACGCATCCACAGGGATCCTTACATTCTACAAATGGTTGGTTCCCTTTATTTTGGTGGAAAAAGCCATGTTTCAAATTGGCAACATGTATCTTTTAAGGAGCCCTGATCCACTAAAAGTCCAGGCTGCGTCATCAAGAAGCTGTCGGCCAACCAGGTGAAAAGACCAGGCGGCAGCTTTCGGCACTCGATCCAAATCACATACCACCTTGATGGCTCCCCCCTCCCCACCCAAAAAAAAAGCACAAGAGGTTCACCTTGTGGGGGTTCATTCCAAAAACCTCTAAAGATCCCCTCCCCTTCCCCCCAAAACAAAACACGAACGGGGTTCATTCCAAAAACCTCTAAAGATCCCCTCCCCTTCCCCCCAAAACAAAACACGAACGGGGTTCATTCCAAAAACCTCTAAAGATCCCCTCCCCTTCCCCCCAAAACAAAACACGAACGGGGTTCATTCCAAAAACCTCTAAAGATCCCCTCCCCTTCCCCCCAAAACAAAACACGAACGGGGTTCATTCCAAAAACCTCTAAAGATCAACCTCTAAGATCCCCTCCCTTCCCCCCAAAAAAGACTAACGTGGTTTTATTCCAAAACCTCTAAAGATCCCCTCTTCTTGCCCCCCCCAAAAAAAAAACATCCCGAACGGGTTTCATTCCAACAACCTCTACAGATCCCCTCCCCTTCCCCCCCCCCAAAAAAAAAAGACGAACGGGTTTTATTCCAAAAACCTCTAAAGATCCCCTCTTCTTGCCCCCCCAAAAAAAACATCCCGAACGGTTTCATTCCAAAACCTCTAAAGATCCCCTCCCCCCCCCCCCAAAAAAAAAAAAGACGAACGGGTTTTATTCCAAAACCCTCTAAAATCCCCTCTCTTCTTGCCCCCCCCCAAAAAAAACATCCCGAACGGGTTTCATTCCAACAACCTCTGGCGCATCCCCTCCCCTTCCCCCCCCAAAAAAAAAGACGAACGGGTTTTTTTCCAAAAAAAACCTCTAAAGATCCCCTCTTGCCCCCCCCAAAAAAACATCCCGAACGGGTTTCATTCCAAATAACCTCAGATCCCCTCCCTTCCCCCCCAAAAAAAAGACGAACGGTTTTATTCCAAAAACCTCTAAAGATCCCCTCTTGCCCCCAAACATCCCGAACGGGTTTCATTCCAACAACCTCTACAAGATCCCCTCCCTTCCCCCCCCAAAAAAAAAAAGACGAACGGGTTTTATTCCAAGCAAATGTAGATCCCCTCTTCTTGCCCCCCCAAAAAAAAAACATCCCGAACGGGTTTCATTCCAACAACCTCTACAGATCCCCTCCCCTTCCCCCCCCCCAAAAAAAAAAAGACGAACGGGTTTTATTCCAAAAACCTCTAAAGATCCCCTCTTCTTGCCCCCCCAAAAAAAAAACATCCCGAACGGGTTTCATTCCAACAACATCTACAGATCCCCTCCCCTTCCCCCCCCCAAAAAAAAAAAGACGAACGGGTTTTATTCCAAAAACCTCTAAAGATCCCCTCTTCTTGCCCCCCCAAAAAAAACCATCCCGAACGGGTTTCATTCCAACAACCTCTACAGATCCCCTCCCCTTCCCCCCCCCCAAAAAAAAAAGACGAACGGGTTTTATTCCAAAAACCTATAAAGATCCCCTCTTCTTGCCCCCCCCAAAAAAAAAACATCCCGAACGGGTTTCATTCCAACAACCTCTACAGATCCCCTCCCCTTCCCCCCCCCAAAAAAAAAAAGACGAACGGGCTTTATTCCAAAAACCTCTAAAGATCCCCTCTTCTTGCCCCCCCCCAAAAAAAAACATCCCGAACGGGTTTCATTCCAACAACCTCTACAGATCCCCTCCCCTTCCCCCCAAAAACAAAACAAAGCAAAAAGCATAAAACGAAAAGACGCCGAGCCACGGCAGCCAGGTCCGGCCTCCGCCCTGCCGCTTCATCCACCAGACGCAGCGGTCCAGGCTGGCGCGGGCGGCGCCGGGACTCTCGAAGCGCCGCCAATCGCCGTGCCCGGGCAGGACCCACTGGAAGTCCTGTGGCAGGCGTTCCAAACCTGGGAAGGATGCGCTGGAGAAAAAACAACGGAGAAAGGAACACACGGCAATGTGCTGTTGCTCCTGAATTCCAAAAACAAAGACATAAACCACAAAAAAACAGCCAAGGCATTTCTGGTAAAGGGCCAAAGGAGGTGTTCCAAACCTCAGCTTGCCTCGAAGTGGTGGTTTAGCGGTTAAACGCCATCTGCCCTCTACAAGAAGCAGGGCTTCAATTTGTCAAACCACCAAGCCAAACCAGCAATGAAGAGTAGCCTGAAAACCTTGGATGCGCCGGAGAAAAAGCGGAGAAAGACACGTCTGACCATGTGCTGTTTCTCTTTCGGAAAACGAGGAAGAAAAAAAGAAGAAGAAAAAACCCAAAAAAAAAAGCCAGAGTGCTTCTAGTAAAGGGCCAAAGGTAGCCCAACAAAGATATTTAAGCAACATTTAAGCAAACACATGCACCTGAAAGATGTTGACCAGGAGGCTTTGAGTCTGCAACTCCCAACTCTGCCAGCATTGGACACGGGCCGCAACCAGATGTCCCTTGACAGCTGAGTAATGCAATGAATCCCCCGTGAAGAGGAACTTCTTCTTGTACAAAAACATGATGCTCCCAGCTGTGTGGCCGGGTGTGTGAATGATCTGAAATTCAGCCAGGCCCTCCAAGGCCGTGGTTTCCCCTGCTTTGAGCTCCAAAAGATGCTCGAAGCCTTTGGTGACTGGAAATGGAGTGTACTTATTTTCTGCCTCGACCATATCGTCCTTGTGCATCAGTCGGGATGCCTTCGTTGCTTCATACCAGGCGGTGGCATTCCCAGTGTGATCTACATGGGTAAAACACAAGTGTTGCACTCCACCCATCTGCTGCACTGCCTCCAAAAGCTTGGGATGCGCGATTGGCGGGTCGATCAAAATATTATGACCCTCGTGCCGGATGAAGAAGCCGGCACATGCAAAGGTGTTGGCATCCGGGTGGCCCATAAAGTAAACGTTGTCTTCAATCCGTTTGGGAAAGCCTTCGTAGAGAGGTGGCAGTTGCTCCAATCTCACCCTCGGCTGTCTGCTCCAGCGGATCGCTTTGAATGGGCAGCTGAAGATCGCTTGGCGGACTGCAGTGTACTCCTCCGCAGAGGCAATGTCCTGGAACACAAATCTGTGGGCCGGATAGAAAAATATTAAACATGTAGTGGCAGCGCTTGACGAAAAATGTGGTTGTGATATCATGACCAGATAACTACACTAGGGCGATATCATATGGGTGTGTCTGTTGTTAGGGTCCCCCCCAACAAAAAATGTGGTTTTCAACTTTTAGTTTTCCGCTTCGCTTCAAGAACCGACCAAAACTCCCTTCCCCCTAAGAAGAAAAAAAACATTCGGCCACACATAAAAAAAGGGGGGGAAAAGAAGAAGAAGAAGAAGAAAAAACGTCTCCCCCCCCCCCTCCTTGCCCACTTCCGAGAAGTTCCCCGGCCCCAGGGCCGGCTTGGAGCGCGCAACCACCTCCCGGAAGATCTCCGGCGCCAAGACCCGGCAGGTCATGGCCCCCACGCACTTGGAGGTCACCTGGGGCTTTTGGCCGAAAAAATCGGCGCAGTGGTCTGCAGTAGAACCGAAAAGAGGTCCAAAGGCAAAAAACAAAAACAAAAAACGCCAATTGGCCATGACCTTTGCTTCAAACACACAAAACCACGCCTTAAAACATCAACTTGAGTGTTGGGCCTTTGGAAGGTCCGCTCGCCTCATGAAAAACGCCACCAAAAACAAGAAAGACAAGACCCGGCCTCCGCGCGGCCCCAATCTTCAATGTCCGACATGGCGATCGGATCGGGACAAGCTCGGCTTTGAAAGCTCCACTGCGGCAGCTGTGCGTAGGTTCCACAGTGGCTCGTGTGACGACTTGGCCACTTCAGTGGATATGTTTCATTTAAAAAGAAAGGCACAGCTTCTTGGTGGTTCTCCAGCGGCTCCCTGGGGTTTCGCTGGTTTCATTCTGCTCTTTCTGACCTCTTTATGTCGCGAGCAAGCTGCGCCAGCTTCGCGGCACTTAGCGTCAACCCCCAGTGTCCATGCCAACCCCCACCCCACTCCCACCCCGGCGCCACAGTGTTCCATGCAAGTGATTTCATTTCGGTGTTCAGACCCACATCCGAAAAGAGATGCTCAGAAGCACCGAGAAAACACTCGCATGGACAAAACACAGCCTCCCGCCGTCCCGCCATTAAAAAGGAATGAGCTCGACCCACTCCAGGGTCCCTTCTGGGTGGTTGACTTCCTCCGATTTCACGTTTATGCCTAGCCAATAAAAGGGCATACTGCCGCAAAACAAATAAGGGACCACGCACATGGCCGATTTGTCTCCTCTCGGTCCAGAGCCAAAAAGGAAAGAGAAAAATGTGTCCAGCCACGCACTCTGTTTCTCTGCGCTGCCCTCAGAGCCCCTGCTAAGAGTTTACTTTTGCTGAGTCGTCATGGAGGCCCCCCCACTAAACCACCTACAAACAGTTAAACACCAAAGGCTGGGAACCACCAAGTATTTGCAGTACATGTTCGGCTTTTGCAAACCGGGGAAGGGGGGCGGGAACCGCATTTTTGCTTCTTTTTGGAGAAAACCGCCCTCCAGGCTGGGCTCGCTTCAGGGAAACTAGAAGGAACCCCTATTATTTGTGTCAAACATTTCGAGGTCCAGCTGGTCGAAGTTTTATTTTTTTGTTTTTTGCTTTCCCCGCGCAACGCCAGAAAAAAAAAAAAGGAAAAAACAAAAACGGGCCGCCGAGTCCAAGCAAAAACCGAGGAGGCGCCCCACCGCTCGGGGCCGGGGGCTTCCGGCGAGCGCGGAAGCCCTCGCGCCCGCGCCTGCTGGTTGGCCCTTTGCGCCCCCATCGACGCGAAGAGGCGCCAGGCATCAAGGCTCCAAGGGTCGATGTCCCGCAGGAAGTGCCACAGAACCTCGCCCAAAGATCCGAAGTTGGCTTGGTTGACCTTGGGCTTGGGGGGCAAAAAATCCCCCAGATTTTAGCAGTTGAGTGGTGGGATTTCAACCACGAAGCCACAACAAGCAAACATGTAAAATGTTTCCCATCAACAACCATGTTAGGGGGCGGTGGGTGCCAGGATGCCGATCCAACTCGCCACACGGTGGGTGAAGACGCACGAGATCCGAAATCGAGTCTCGCAACACGAAAGGAAACCACGGATGTTGCAAACATTACGTTGGTTGGTATTTACCGGGGCATCGAATCATTCCCAAGGTTGCTGAACGGTGGCGCGAAATGCGTTTCGTCCATCCACAGTATGGCAAGTTTACGACAAGACCGACCAATTTGATTGAAACGTCAACCATTGTTTTGTGGGCGGGTGCCGTTGGCCAACTTGCAATATTTAGGGCCGAAAATCATAGGGGGAAGGGAGCTAGGGCTGCGCGGTTTTGGTCTTTGTTTCCATCCAGGGTTCCATGTTGGGTACCCATTTTTGACCCCAAAAACCTATAAAATGAACAGAACCGACAAATAAAACAACAACAAACAACAAAACCACTTCAGCAGAACCAACAACAAAACAAGACACAACTTGCCAAGAGCAATGAAGAAACCGTGGCCTTGATGCCCCGCTCCTGGCGGCTGAACCAGGGCGGCTGAGGGGGAGGGGGTCTCCGGAAAAGGGGCCCGGACTTAGCTTTAAAGTGAATCGCCTTTCGGGCCCACGAAAAAAAGGGAGTTCAACAAGGCAAGGCCAAAAGGACAAACAGCCCCGGGTCCTGGTCAAAGCAAACCTTCAGATTTGCCTTCATGGCCTACCGCAAGAGGTCGGCACACTTGCTGGCGATTGGCCCTTCAGCAAGTTGTGAACTTTGGCTGGTTGGGGAACATGCCTGTACAATAGAATCAAATGCTAAAGATCCGACCAAAAGGGCGTATGCTTTCTGGAGGGTAGCCTTGTCGCTTGTTTCAAAGGGGAAACCTCAAGTTGAAAACCACCAATTCTAGCCTGATCCCCTAAAAGTTTAGCTTTGTGTGTCAAATGGAAACCCCCACTGAAACCCAAAAACCAAAAACCCTAAGAACCCCCAAGAACTTGGGGAGGGATTGGCCTCTTCTTTTGAGAGCCGCCGAGCAACGAGCAACACCCCAACACCCCGCGCCTCCATGCGCATGATCCACTCCCCGGCTCGCTTGTGGTTGCCCTCCTTGGCGTGCGCGCGGATCACCAGATTGTAGCCTCAGAGTCTCAGAGAGGTTTTTCACCAGCCAAAATCCAATGTCTCACTCTTTGTGAGGATTGCCCAGAAAAACAAAAAAAACGTCCCCCCCCCAAAAAAAAAAAAAAACACAATTCCCTTGCTGGTTCTCAGCAGGGAATGAGGAATGACACCGATAAAACATCCAACTGGTGCTTTCCCTCAAGAAAAAAACCCTGGGTTCATTGCTACATTCGCTACCAACTGAGCACCAGCAAGTTTCTCAATTTCTGCGTGGAATGGGAATGCCCCAAACGAAGTCTGAACTGTGTGGTTTCCACTCCTATGTCACCAGCAAGTTTTTCATTTTTGTGTGGATGGCCCCAAACGAAGTCTGAACTTTGTGGTTTCCACTAAAATGGAGCTCAGGAAATGAGAATTCGTGGGTTGGATTGATGGCTTGATTAAGGCGGGGCGGTTTAAACCCCCAAACCACCCATCCAAACCACCAATTCGGGGTTACCTGGAAAAAATCAAGTTCAGGGTCACAGGTTCTTTCTACACCTTCTCGGTGGAAACCCATTTGTGTGTTTTGGCAAGTGTTTGCCCAAGTTCCGGTAGAAATTCCTGTAGCTTCCAGCTGGTAGCACCAGCAGGAAACAGAAGGTCAAGCCAAGGACCCGGATACGAATGGCAAAAAAGCGCCCAGGATTCCCAGCCGTGAACGGGAAGCAAACAAAAAAGAAGAAGCAACCAGTCGTCGAAAAAGCAAATGGATATTTACCTGGAAAAGGTAGGTAACCAAGGACTTGCCACCCGTTCGAACATCCAAGAATAGTGCTGTATCTGGGTAACTGGCAAGCCCAGCCATCCCAGGCAAATGCCGGGGCCGAAAGTTGAGCAGAGCAGCTCAAGGCATCCAGGGCCCCTGGCACACCCTCAAACTTGCGGAGGACGGCCTGGGAAAATGCGGGGAAAAGCCTGGGGCGAAACGGGCTAACTCCATGAACTTTGTGAATCGGTCCGGGGACTGTGCAAAAAACAAGCACAATGTGCAATTATGCAATGATGATTTCCTTTGGGTCTGGTGAAGAAAACGTTGTTCTTGGTGGTCAGACAGTCAAGTATCTTATTTGGAGCCCTTCAAGTGGGGGAGGTTGGAGGGGACTCAGGGGGGTGGTTGATGTATTGTGTGCCGTTGTGGAAAGGCAACGAAACTGGGAAACCCCCGTTCGGTTGGCGTTTCAAGTGCGAGCCATCCGGCTTTGCACAACACGTTCGCTTGAACACCTGGCGCCCTTGCGCCTCCACCTGCTTCGCCCCCTGCTGCGACACTCGGTCCAGCTCCCTGTTGATGTTGCTCATCGTTTTGGCCGGCGGCTTCCCATTGCCGTTCTCCTTCTCCTCTTTCTCTGTCCTGGCCTCTGGCGACTTTCGTTTGAGGAGGTATGCCTGCAGCGCGCACGCGCCCAGGAGGAAGCTGATGACCAAGTCGCAGGCGCTCCACTGGAACTGCTTCAGGCTCAGTGGAACCGAGCCAAAGACCAAGGAGTCAAAGACGAAGACCAGCAAAACGATGCCCAGCAGCACCAGAAGATGGCGCGCCCACTTCCTCAGTCGCTTTGGATGGGACCCAGAAATGAGTGGAGGTGCTCACGTTTTTGGGGGGCCATGATGGCCATGACTAAACAAAAGCAAAAAAGAACATGAAGAAAAAAACAAAGGTCAAAAATTGAATTCGCTTTGGGCCAGTGAGCTTCGGTGGAGCTCCAGGTGTAACGTTCTCGGGTTTGCCCGTTGACATGTAGGATCGGTATCGAAACCCGTGCGATTTGCACGGGGGGCTCAAAGGCTATCTTGCAACAGCACCCGGTGAGGGTGCTTGAGCTGTCAAAGGACGGCAGGAGGTGAACAACTACGAGGCAGCCCAACAGTCCGCGAACTTGGCAGCCACGCGGCCGTTTTTTCGGTTTTTCCCCCAAGGTTCTGCAACCCCTGCAACCCCGACCTGGAAACGCCATAGGAAGGCAAGCCAGCAGGGTGGTCTCTGGTCACCTTGGGCCTGTTCGGAGTTCGGAAGGATCTTTTGAATCTTTTGGGGGTCGTGGTTCGGGTGCGAGTTTTCTTGGGGCGCGATGCCAGCAGAAGCATCTGTAAGCCCAGGGTAGACGCAAGGGCTTTCTACAAGCCTGGGAGAAGCCCATCAGCGTCAAGAGATTAGTAAGCCTAGGTCATCCAGTAGAGAGGTTAGAACGAGGGTGCCCTTTTATCTATAGTCTATTTTAGTAGGGGAACCCCCCACGAAAGGGTAAAAGGGCACTACTGGGAGACCTAGAAGCAGATGGACCCCAAGACTTCGACCCAACATTTCCCTGAGCCTCACCTTTTCACGCAAACGGCCCAGCGTGCGGACTCGCTCTCGCTGGCCACCCACAAACCCAAGGGGAAGCCGAGCGATGCGTTGAGGTGCAGCGAGGCACCACAGAGCTCCACAAGCGAAGCGGACAGCCGCCACCTAACTTCACCAACTTTCGAGCCGGGGGGAGATGTCAACCCAAAACTAGGTTGACGTTGGAAGGGGAGCAAAATTACATCTTAGCAGGTCAGTGGGGATTTCCCTTCAGTGGAGATTTCCCACTACACCACCATAAGCAAAAAATCAAAATGTTTCCCAACAACCACCAGGAAGAAAGGGCGGCCAACATAAATGGGGAACTGGAGCACACATTTCCGGGAAGCCGCTGAAATGGGCCAAAAAGGCACCAAAACTGGGAGCAACTCAAAGGCGCACCCGCCCCCCCCCCCCAAAAAAAAAAAACACGCCGTTTGGTGGCCCCACCTTGTCAGTACCCACTCCCGCTCCAGGCACGCGCTCCAACTCAGGCGATGCCTTCCGGCCGCGTCTCCGTCAGACGCCACGTCCAGCGTGAGGTCTGCGGTGCGCAAAGTCACCTCCAGCGCAGCCGAGGCCGTAGGCGTCAGCGGCGTCAGCCGCACGCGGAGCCGCGCGGCGGTGGTTTCGATCTCCAACCTGGGCACATGAAGCGACAGCCCGAGGACGCTAGGCGAAGAGCCTTCAGGGGGTGTGTCTAAAACCATAGGGGACCGGGTTTCCTTTAGGTTGTCCTTTGAGACAAGAAAAAAAACTGGGCTGTTCAAAATGGAGGCTTGGCCTATCCGAATTCCCATTAGGGAAGCCACTGCCAAGGGGACCGGCTCCTTGCGTTTCCCAAGGTAAGGATTAAGGATCACCTTTGAACAGCCGCGACAAAGGGGAACCTTCAGACACCGCGAAAGATTTGTCAACAGCCTTCCAGCCCCTTTGACCCGGACCCGCGGATGTGGCATGGGACAAGCCAGTTCCGAGAGGAGATGCCGAAGTGACATGGAAGCCACACTCAACCGCCCAGGCAGCAGATCCGCAGTGGGAGCAGAAGCCAAAGGACAGGAACCAACATATATTTTTGGGGTGGGGGGGGGCACTCCATGGGCACTTCGAGATGATTCTCAACGATTTTGACAAATTTAAACCAATACCCTAAAAAAGGTGGTTAGCAACATCGGGTCTCTCTCATTTTTTGGGGTGCTCACAAAATGGTTGGTTTGCCTCTTGGCTTCCAGTTAAAACCACCAAAAACAAAGGTCCCCGAAAAAAAAAGGAACTCCACCCCCAAGTAGACTCCAGGTCTCCATACAGAACCGCTGGGTTGAGATCGGTTTGAGGCAAGCGACTGGTCCTCCTTCGTCACCTCCAAGCGGGCGGCGTGGTAAACCCGCGGCGTGGTCCACATCGTGTGGCACCAGGACGCGCCCACCTGCGTCACGTAGTCCAGGCCCTGCTGCCTGGGAAGAGGTCCCCGAAACCCGCATTTCAGCCTGGGGGGAGCCCACCTAAGCCCATGAGGCCGGCCTGAAGGGCTGATTTGGCCCTTCCCCCCCCCCAGGCCCCTGATCTATGGGGGGTTGGGGGGTGGGGTCGTGGCCTTGGTAGGGGGCCCTTAGCGCTTCTCCCAGGCGTTCCTGGGCTTGTAGACCCTCCATGATGAGCCTTCAAGAGTCATGAACCTCACGACTGTGTAGGGGCACGAGCAGTTTTTAGAGCCGGGCAGTGGGGCTGGCTATTTTTCCGACCCAGGACCTGCTTTTGCTGGCAGGCAAAATGCAGGACACAAAACCTGATGCATACATTTGTCTGTCAAGTCTCTTGAAAGGTTCCCTTGGTCGCCAGCCTCTCACTTCCTTGAGCGCATTGGCCAAGCCTCCAAACTTTCTGCTTGCTGCAAGTCCACAAGCTCCGGGAGAGCCACGGATGTTGCGATCCCATATTGCACCACCAACCAAACCCCCCCAAAAAAAGCCAGACGGACAAATAGGGGCAGCATCCTCAAGCCCTGGAAACAATGGTTATGCCCTCGGAACCAAACAAAAACAAAACAAACAAAAGGCCAATGGACAAGTGAGCTATAGTATCAGGAAGCCCCAATTGCTCTAAACCAAAACAACACCATTTGCTTGAGTTTCGTTGAACAAATGCAATATGTCCGATAGTGATAAGTCCCCTTTCAACCCAACCGGGGAAAATATAAAGTGCACTTAGGCAACTAGAGAAGCAACTACTTCGGGCTTACGCCCTACATATTGCAAGTCTCAACCACGCATCCATGGCAAACGGCAAATTAGGGGCAACTTCCTTGTTCCCCTTGCCATCCTTCAGGGCCTGCAGCGCACCCGAACTTTCGCGGTTGATGTTGGAAGGGGAGCACAACATTTCAGATCAGCAGTTCAGCGGCTAGATTTCAACCACGAAACCACAATTTACACAAAAATTAGAGGAAAAAAAGAAGAAAAACAAAAACATGTTTCCCAACAACCACCACGTGCTCCCCTTGCCATCTTTAGGGCAATGCAGCGCGCCCATGAACTGAGCAACCCCCCCCCCCCAACCCCCCACCCCCGACTCCGACCTTTTTTCTCCTCGGGGCGCTTCGCCATGAGGAAGAGCTGCTGCTGGCTCTGCTCCCTGAGCCGGCTGCTCCGCGCGGCTCCGCCCCACCACTGCCGGCTGGGGCTCGGAAGGCCTCGGAACGCCCGGGAACCAGGGCGCCTCGCGGAAAACTGAAAGAAGCAAAACCAAAGAGCTGAAGAAGGCAAGGAAGCACACAACCAAAGACATAGAGGACCGCACAACACACACAAACACAGAGAAACACACCATCACGCGCAAAAAAAACAAAAACCGCCTGCGCCGGAGGCAACCGCGCGGCCCTCCTCCTCCTCCAAGCCTGGCCTCCCCGCCGCCAGGAACCGCCGCATGGCCGGCCAGGCCTTGAGATCCCCGGCCACGTGCGCCAAGCTCGCCCTCTCCTCGGATCCGCTTTTTTTTTTTTCGCGGCCAGGGCCGGCCGAAAGCTCTGCGGCGTGGCCACGGAAAGTGAAGAGGGGGCGCAAAGAAACTGAGCTGTCCGCTTTCTGATCCCCGAGAAAAAGGAAAAACTCTCTGAGGTTGCAGGGGTCACTGGAGTTCCTCCTAGTGGCAAAGGACTGGTGGCCTCCAGCAAAATCGCCCACTTTTGGAGATCCCAAAAAGGACGCTGCTCCCCTGCGAAAAAGTCCTGGGCTGTCCGGCTTCTGATCCCCGAGAAAAAGTTGCTCGTAGTGGGCTGGATGGACACTACCACTGAACCAACTAAAAAGCCTAAAAGCCTAAGCGGATGGCTGGGAACTCCTCCATTGTTTATCAACAAACGTTACGGTGCATCGAACATGAAACAGCATCTGACAATATGTTTTCAGTCTACAGATTGACATGAGTTGCCAAAAAGAAAGAGAGGCCCGTTCCCCAAAATGAGATTGCGGTGCTAAACATGGTGGGGTGTGGGGCAAGCTGTAGGGGAGCATCTGCCGATCCCCAGGAAATCAACAGGCTGACAAGGGCGCTTTGGGATCAACCGTTTCGAGACCTAAACGAAAGCAACATGGGACGAGTTACAGAGGGTTCCTCAGTCCCTGCCGGGAACCAGCAAGACTAGGAGGCTGATCCCTCCCGAAACTGCCTGGCACACCCCCTTTTGGTAGTTTGAAGGGACAGGAAGCCATTGCCACATGGGACCCGCATTTTGGGAAACATCAGTTTTTTGGGACCCGCTTCCTTCAACAAGGCTCAGGTTTCTCAAGCAGCAGTGCTCCAAACCTACTGCCACGTGATGACGGCTTTCAAGCACCCCAACTGAGGCTTGCTTAAAATTGTCGGTTGTCCAATTCATCAACCTGAAAGGGTACCCATGTGGCAATGGCAACTCCTCTTTGCTCCAAACTACCAACCAAAAGGTGGACCTTCTATGTCCGAGGCCTTCTGGCAATGCCAGACTACATGGCTGTGGCTCAAACAAGTGGAACCAAAATGACATCTTGGCAAATGGAGAAGAAAAAAAAGACCAAAACCCGCTAAGTAACCCCAGCTCTTTCCTTTTGAGCCATACTTAAAGGGGTATTGTACTTAGTACGTGGTTAGTAAGCCTGGTTATAACCCACTTACCATGGTTATAAGTTTCCTAAGTGGGATCTAAGGCTTACTAACCACTTACTAATTTCAATGCCCCTTTAAGTACCCCAAATGGGTCCTGTCTCAGGGAACTGCGGCCAGCCTTTGGCCCAAGGCTCCCCGCAGGCGCAGCCGTGCCGCACTTCGGGCCGCGCCGCCGCCTCCGCCAGCGCCGCCAGCTGCTGCACCTGATGGGAGGCGGAGAAGGACGGGACCAAAAAACCGCAGGGAAACCATTTTCGGGCGTACCCAAGAGCAACAAC